TATTTTTTGAAACTCACAAACTCCGATAGGGTAAAATTATATGGATATGCACACTGCCTAAAATGGATAATTTATCATAAGCCCATTGCATCAATGACAAGTACTAAGTAGAAAAATCATGAACCATCCTTATCCTTTGAATGCATCTTTGAAGCTCATAAGCTTCGAAAGAACTAAATAACAATATAAAAAGTTTAGCCCGATACAATTATTGGTAGAACCCTATCAAACATGTCAGTTTTACATTAGGATTTAACTATTTTATTAGTTTTCAAATAAATAAATAAAACTCAAGACTCTGCTCATTGGATCAAAGAGAAAATAAACCTTAATTATCAAATGATTGAATCACCCACCACCAGTGCCATCTAAATTACCATGCTGTTTTCTGTCGTCTAAATCATTCCAAGACCATAACAATACAAGAATTCAGCATTTATAGCAACGAGTCATTGCTGGAATAGCTTCATTAGAGGCTCTCCAAAACATATTTTGATTGTAGGAGGAAGATTCAACTTCCACAACTTCTTTCATATTCTATTCCTGAGCTCAGAAACAGAGGAGCTTACAACATGATTTCCATTATTTAGCAAACTTGGCTGATTTAACTGTGAAGGCAAGCTTTAATTTAGACGGCCTTTTAGTCCTACATAGCTCAAAGGATGCCTGAGATTTGATTGGAGTCACATGAAAGGGAAAATTTCATGATTGGTGAGCCTTTAGGAATGTTAATTAGATTCAACTACTTAGATGAGTTCATTCAAACTTCTTAGCAAATTATGATTAGAATTTAGATTATGAATCTAAATAGGAAGAGGGATTATTAAAGAACTAGGATTTATCATTATAATATATCATATATCTCAAGGTTTTGATAAAAAGAAGAGGTATGAAAAAAAAAATTTTTTTGATACTTTTGAGGTATACAGAAGATCCAAAGTGGACAGAAAGAAAAAGTATTTCTCTATTTATATAAGAAGGTATACAAATGATTCGAGACAATGATTCCTTGTATTTAGTTTTTCTCATATATTAAAAATCTTTTTTTTTTGAAAATGTTGAACCACATTTCTCACTCTCTATATCAGCTTTCTAGTATATTATTTACTTATTAATATATGAGTTTCTCTCTCTTAACAACTTCGTATCACATCCTTCTTTGGTTGAACTCAAGATTACTCCTTGTGTTACACGTAGCTCTAGTATGGTGAGCCTTGATTAAGGCGTAATTCTCATGGATCCCTAAAAAAAAAAAAAGTTGATTTATGATTGTCACTTCATAATTTATAACCTTTTTTTTGAACCCATAATGGATCTCTCCTTGTACATCTCAGATTCTGCTTTCGATTGCCGGTGAAAGAAGAGCTATGAGCTTGCATTAAGATCTTAAAAACTAGATGATACATATAGCCTTTAGTTATATTCTTTTATTATTTACACTTATTTACTCTCTACAAGGAGAAATATCTTTTGTATATGAACAAATAGGTCATAACACATAGTGGAATTAAATGAAATCATAATAAAATAGAACACCAAGATATATATGGAAAACTCCTTCAATATGAAGGGTAAAAACCACGGGACAAACTAGAGATAATCTACTATAATAATAATGAATATACAAATCTCAATCTCTTGCCCAAAACCCTAGCAACAATCACAAGAGAATAACTGGGATACAAGGATCACGTCACTATGTTCAATATCGAAATCCTCCATAATTCTCCCTAAGTAATCACAATAAGAATCTACTATAGATTTGATTTAACCTGAGATGAGAACATTGTTGGATAATTGAGAACAGTCTTTCTACGTTGTTCTTATTTTCTTCCTTTTCTTTCTCCGTGGATTTCTGTCTTTTTCTCCTTCTTTTTGCTGCTGCAAGGATCTCCTCTACTGCCCTCGTTGCTGTCCTATTTATGCCCATTTCTGTCTTTAAAACGTAGCTACCCACACCCTTCTAATATGAATTAGGGTTAGATTAAGTGAAGAGGTGGGATGTGGACTGTTCAAGCCCATTATGGACTAAATTTGTGAGCTACCAGTCTAACAATCTTTCCATATCATTCAATTATTTACACTGATCAACTCCCTATAAGAAGTTGCATGTTTTGCATACTAATATAACCAGAGACTCAACAACAACAGCAAAATTGCATGAAGGAAGCCCATTACAAGCCGTACAACAATTACAAACAACTAAATAGAACCTCCCAAGTATTTGAGTATGTTATTACACCCTTATCTAGTGGATTTAGAACCATTATTCATCCCTGGCTTCCAAACCTAATCTGATATCAATAATGATTCTGCAAGGGTGCCAAATTCAGTATACATACCTCTTCCAAGAAATGATTTTGAAACTTTAAACTTACTATATCTGATTGATTATAGCTTCCAACAAACACATCAAGAATCCTTTAGTAAATTTGCTTCCCAAACTTTCCTTAAGCTAAACTAAGTAGGATTTTTTTTTTTTTGGCAATCATATCATTTCATTTGGACATTGTCTGTAGGCAAGCTATACATATCCTCCTATATAGTTAACTACTTTTAATTATAATATTTGTTATTATCATTCCTCGCCCAAGGTCGAGTTATAGATGATTCGAGAGTCGCTCATCTTATAGACCAATTTGTTTATAATTGATAAGGTCTTTGTTGACAACATTATCCCCCATTTTGATATCTTTTCCCTTTCCTTCCTAACAAACGTTTCATTTCTCATTTCTTTTTCAAGTTTCTCTTTATTAGAATTATCAATTATCTTATGAATAATAGATAAATTTAAATTATTTTACAAAAATTAATTAGATTTTTATTCACTTTAGTATGATCAACATGGATAATGGAGATTATGCTAGTTAGTTATCCAAGGAATTAAGTGCTACACTGTCTCCCTCTTCGTTAGTTATATGATTTAACAAAGTTGATGAATCTTCTATGATACTTGTAATCAAGCTGCTTAAAACGAGAAATCATCATATTCGCTTATGTTTGTATACTTTCGACTCAAATAGAATTTTATCTTAAATAATTAAATAAAAATGAGATATGAGAAAATTGGTGAGGAACACACGACCATCTCATCACACGATCTACTAAACTTAGACCAGATGTAAATTGAAGTACAACATAAGACAAGAAAAGGAGAAGTAAGTGCCCTTTTGGTCTTTCCAAAATTTCATTTTATTAGGGTACTTCTTTCCTTCTGTCAAACTTTGTTTCTTTTTTTTCATCTCGTTTACTTCGTGATCATTCTTCACAGCCTGAGTTGGCATCCATGAAAGGTTTTCTCTTGAATTGATCAGCGATTAAGGATAGTTTAAAGTGACTCATGGAAGAAATAAAGAAAAAGGTGGAGATTAAAGTTGATTAAGATGATGAAAATGAGATTTGAGCTGAGTATAATTCATCCAAATCTTTATCAATCAAGGTAGCTAACACCTTTATGATGATAACTTTAAATCTCATAGACTTGGAGGATTATATAAAAAAACATACAAAGTTAACTTATCAATGGAGCATTTTTATCTTTTAAAATAGCCAAAATATTTCTTTGCTCCTTAACAGTATGAAACAGTTAAAAAGTATAATTTTTCTTAAATGGTAAGTGGTTCAGGTTTTCTTTTCTTTTATAATGTTTAAAATAATACTTTTATTCTTGAACATTATTATAAAGGGAGGGAAAATATAAGCCTTTTAAAAATGATAACCGATGACGAAGGATCATATGATTTTGTGAATAACAAAGAATTAATCGATTAAGTCACTTAACATATTCAAAATTTTATCAAATAAAGTATTGAATCCTAATCTTTGTTGTTGTGTGTATCTCTATTATTATCAATTGATTATTTGAAAATGAGTTTGATATAACCAATATTTTAGTTATTAAATCTTGAACATTTTATCTTAAACAAAGATTTTAGTGTTAGGCTTTTACCAAATAGTATCCCCTTAATTGATTTTTATCTTGGAGTCATCATTTTTTCATCAATTTAATGAAATACTCCTCCTCTACCGTTAACCTTTGATCGCTCTAGTCGCCCCCGTAAGTGATGACATCCTTTCATTCTCTTCTTTCTCCATTCCTATATTTCCTTCTTCTCCTCCTTTTCTCCGGTTGTCCACGTTGCCTTTGTCGCTAGCACCCTCATTGCCTACCTTGTGCCCTTGCCATTGCTTTCAGCAAGGGCTCCTATCTTCGATCATAGAAAGATAGAGTGGCAACCAAAGTAATTTCAACCTTGCTAAGGACAACAAATGGCAAGGGAATGAGAGAGGAGGGTGAAGAAAAAGAGGGACAATGCTATTTGTGATGAGAGTAAGAGGAAACAAAGATAACGACGGTGGGAGATGACAATAATGGTGATGATAATCGAAGGAGTTCGGAGGAGGAGAGATATTTTTATTAAAATAATAAAAAATATTTATAGATAAAAATTAATTATAAAATTATAATTTGATAAAAGCCTAACACTAAATTTTTTTAGATAAAACATCCTACGATATACTATCATTATATCAATTCAGAGTATCATTATATCAATCTCTTTTCGATAAAAATATTAAAATAAAAATATTTAAATAATAATCATAGTAATAATAATAATCATAAGAATTATATATATAATTGAGAGTATTTTGATGATCTCTCATGCTAAAGAGATTGATTTACGATAAATTATTAAAATAAAATATTTTAAAATAAAATATTTAAATAATAATCATAAGAATTTTATCCATTATATCAAGTCAGAGTATCTATCTCTCATGCTAAAGAGATTGATTTACGATAAAATATTAAAATAAAATATTTAAACAATAATCATAGTAATAATAATAATCATAAGAATTTTATCCAAAGTTAACAATCGTCCCTTCTATATTTATCAAATAAAAAAAAAGAAAATATAAAAGAAGCAGAAATGCGATGCCGTTTAGCCCATAAAAGCTAGTCCACTGGTCTTCCACGTTTCTCTGCCTCTCCGACCCAATGACCGAGCCCGTGCCCTTCGAAACCCTTTTCCCTGGCGAAAGCTACCCGTCTCTCCACCAAAACCCTAACCCTCTCCCTCTCCCTCTCCCTCTGCGGGTCTCTTACACGTCCCACTCACCGGAGGCACCACCATGGGAGGCTCTCGCTCGAGTTTGGCTCTCTTCTCTACCTATGAGCCACCAACCTTCGGTTGCGGAGATCGACGCCTGGATCGAATCGAACCGTGCCTCTCTTCCGGATGACCTCCAGTCTGTTCCCCGCCTCCATCTTCATCACCGGATTCTCTCCCTCCATGATCCTTCCCGCAGCTTGAATCAGGTGCTTGCCTGAAGCCAGCAGCTTCGTCGTTCAAAAGCCTGTTACTTCCTTTAAATACTTGAGTTTGGTCTCCCTGCAGGTTGATCTGAGTAATGAGGCGGAGTTCCCGTATCGATTTCAACGCACGGACTTGTGGAAACCTGTTTATAGATGGTTGGAATCATTGGATAAAGACGTGCTGGTCAATGCAAAAGAGATATCAGAATGGTTGGCAGCAAACCCGGAGGTCACGGAGAGGTTGTTCTCCAAGCATTCTCGGTACCATATGATGCACTACATTCAGAGAATGCATTTAAAATTGCTCAAAAAGAGGGGGAAGTTGCCAAAGGTGCTAAGTTTGACCATTTTACTTGAACATTTCTTCTTCATGTTTGCTTTTCTTAGTTGAGATTAGCAGCCGCCTTAATGATCAGTTAAAGCATGCTCTATCTGGGTTTGTTTTTTCAATTACAAATCTTGTATTGTCCTGTGCAAGTGTGATTACTGAATGCTGGAAATTTTGCCAATGTTATTGATGAATAATCTTTCTACTGGTTGAAATAAATTTCCACTTCACATTTGTGTATTTGTTGGCTAGTGTAGCTAGAATACCTTGTAAGATTAATCATGGCCATGTTTTCACAGTGCCAAAGTGAACAAAATAATTTGTAATGATGATATCATAAATTGTTAGTCACTGCTTATCATTTGCTTTTGTACTATGTTCGAAACATTAACTGTTTAGAACTCTTGCAATTTTAAAATTTGGTTTTTTTTTCTGCCTTGCATGTTCTTCAGTTTTCTTTGCATTGATAAACTCCGAGTTATATTTCATGTAGCTTGATCTCATTTATTCGTGTTATTAATATTTTGCTTTTTTAGACCATTGGTTAATTGGTTGATATGGATGTAATCCTAGTTTACTAGAGTATATCAGAATCATGATCCCATAATTTTAATCACAATATCTAATTGCTTCTTACGTAATGGTCTTTGGATCCGAGTGAAGATAGATATGTATAGCTAAGGTAAACTTTGGAAAACTTTGAATATTGCTCGTTATTTTCTGTATCTTTGAATTTGTCATAGAGCAATCTCAATAACTCAATGCATCGCACTTTGTTTTCCTGGTGCACACATGATGCAAAATATGATACATGTTTATGGCAAATCATCTTTCTATGATGTAATTGCATGTGTGGTATGAAAAATCAACTCTACCACTGGATTGTCTATTTTCAGAGCACTTGGTTATCATAACAACATGATTACCAAGTCACAACTTTAAACTATGGAGACACTACTTTCTTTGGCCACACTGGTCCTATCAACAAAGAACAGAATAGCTCCTATTCTTGTTCTGGACGATTGGGTTTGGGAAAATGAATTGTTCACATTATATATTTGCTATTGTAATATCTAGAAATTAGGTATTCAAGCTCCTATTCTTGGCTCAAGTTTTAAACCAGATCATTCTAGCACAAACAATATTTCACTCTTATTGTTACATATATAGGTCAAGTTCACAGTTTTTTTTACATAGGGAATACAATTTACTTATTCTAAGGAAGTGGTCACTAGCGTATTAATATTTAAGTATTTGGATAAAAATATGATTTTGAGAGATTGGTCAGTCTTTGAATCTCCTAGAAACTGGGAATTAATCAGGATCAGTTGGGAGTGAATTGATCCATGGGCTCATCTAGGATAATTGCGGTTCCAGTCCAATCTTGCTGCTTGTGAGCTATGTATCCAATCTAACAATCCATCTGACTAAGGAGAACACTATATGCACAGGTTATCCAATATTTATGGTTTTTTATTTTCATAGAACTCAAGATAATTTTAAGTTAGACTTTTCGAAGAAATTTTCTAGGAAGATTATAAGCTTCATATATATTGTTCTTTTAGTTCAAACTTCTGAAATATCATTAAGCATGACTCATGTTCAGTCTTGATAGTCTGACAAAAATCAAACTATTAAAAATATGAGAATGCATCACTTACGCTTGGGATGTGTCATCATGTCTTGATATGCCAAAACAGAGTTTGAACCAGATTTGTAAGAAGATTATATAATCCTAAGCATAATCTAATCAGATGATTCAACACTGGCTAGTCTGAACAAGGGCATCTCGTCAAAGCATTATAATAAATAACCAATTTTTATATGTATGGTTACACAATTTGAACCTTAACGAGAAATTGTGATTTCTGGTATGGTTCTTGAACAATCGCTTGCATGCTCCAAATGTTTGCGTATAGTTCTAATGCTTTTGAAGGATTCTGGAGATAATGTAAATTTCAAATGATCATGGAAAAATAAATTTAATTAAATGTCTAACCTTTAAATTGATTCAACATCCAATAATATCCCATCTGGATTTTGATAATCTGCACATAGATCTTTGATAATTAATTGAAGCTCCAGATATTTAGAACCTCAATCTGCTTACTTAGTTCATGGCTTTAAAACTCTGTTTCTCCTGAACTGGTAACAAGAACAATAGAGGTATCATATCATATGTTCCAAAAGTGAGGAAGAAGGGGAGAATAGGAAAGAAGAGAAACGGGACCCATGGTTGTCAAGTGATCAGCTATGACCCAAAGAGAGATAGGTGGCTTAGAAGCTTGAAACATAATGTGTGTGTGTGTGGGAGATAGTGAAATACACTTAAGTAGAGGTAGATATGGTTTGGTTTGTTTATCACAATAATGCATCAAGTTTAATGGGTCTTTGGTGCTGCAATGTTAGCAAATTGTGCTATATTATCATTCTATTCATTTTCTGCTCATCATAGTAATTATGATGCTTATGTTGTGACCTCATTTATAAAATGTGAATTTTATTTTCTTTCTTATTAAATATGATTAACTGAACATGCTTATGCACTCATGGTCAAGTTTGGTTTGGTCTGGTGTTCCCAAGTGTTGCAGCACTTGTAGTAACATGCAAAAAGACATAAGTTGTCACTTTTGATGCGTAATGACTGATATGTTCATTACACCGTAGTATTTTTGATTGATAATTGATATGTAGCTGTGGGATACTATTGTGGAACTCCACAAAGAAAACAAAAATTATCCATGTCTCATGGATTTTGGTCGAGGATGTTGAAGTTGCGATATTGATTATGTGTACCCTCCTGTCTTCTCTAAAATGGTTCCACAGCACCCAATTTAAAAATTCTTTTTGGCACATTTATCTGCCTACACTGACAGGAAACATTGAACAAGAGAGAACTCAGATTGATGAAAAGGAATGGTGCTAGATTTCTGAACTTATCTTTTCAATGATGACAAAGATGCATCTTTTTACTCACAAAAGCAGTATCATCAAGTCCAAACACATGGCCGTTTGGGTTTTCCTCCATTTCTCTTATCTTCTATTCTTGTACTTTCTCCATCTCTCTTTTCCTGTGTTTTTTCTTACTATACTAAGCAACATACTTTGTTTCCATTTTCTTTTATCCTTTTCATATGTTATTATACTTATCTTTGCCATGTGAATGACTATCAAGCTAATCTTGTTGCGCCATGGAAAGTTTTTTTTTCTAAATTATATCTCAAAGATCGAGACAATCATGGGCTTCAAAAAATTTGTCCATAGTTGGTGATGGATGGAGAAAGTCAAGCAGAAAACATAATGTGACCAATTTAATGGCTTCATAAGAGACTCCTGTGTTCTTGAAAGCTATTGATACAACTGATGAAATTAATAATCCTAATTTTTGTTGCAAGATTATTGGTTTATCTAGCACCATATATGGTACAGCTAATTCAAATGATGCATCATTTTGTGAGGCAGAAGGCAGGAAATGAACACATTTTTGTCAGTATTGAATATGTCTGCATGCTATAATGCAATCTGGAGCAACATGCAAATGAGAGGAGGCTATTACATTGGGCAAACAGAGATGTATGCTTAATTAGAATCTTTTGGCCAGTATTGAATAGCAATGTACACAAAATCTTAAAGTTGATGTTTCTTGTCATGGTAACTAACTTCTCTAAGTGTGAAATTAAACTATTATGTGTCAGGAACCTTCTTATTCATGATAACCGATGAGCATCAAGAGTTTTATAAACTTGAAATACCCAAAAGACCTAGAAGGTCATAGAACTCTTGCATAGCTATGTACTTTTGGAGCAAATTTACTTATTTGACAATAAAACCTAAATCTTCCATGTTATAGGCCACAATACTAATAAGTTGATGGCTTAATGCTTTATATAACATATGAAAACATGGTTTGATTATTGAAGGAAGTGCTGAGAAGAATAATATTTTCTTTATGAAAGTAATTTTGTGATATGTTTCATAAAGTACAACTGCAATGAACAAATAAGATTAGCATGCTTCTACCTGAAAATTATTGTGAAGGTGGTTCAGTGAATATTATATGTCATCTTGATGTGGAGTCTTGTAGGTGATGCAATTTTTTCGTTCATTCATCTGAATAAATTTCGTTATTAGCATGGACAATTTTGTACACTGCAGACAACTTTGTCCAAGCACAAGCTCTTTGTTCATGGGACTATTTTCATCCTACATCATGATGGTGTAATTTAGTGTGCAATGCATCATTGACAGTATAGGTACTTGTTTTGTGCTTAGCATGAGGAATAGTAATATCTATATTGGGTACTTTTGCTGGCTAATATTATCTGACAACCATTGTAAATTGTCTTTTATTACTGACTTATAACAAAATTATTTTGTTGCTTCTCCACCTTGTCCAGAAAGAAATTAGAGCATTTTTGTGCTAATAGCTGATAGGAGAAGATGTCAGTGGTCATCAAAACATATCAAGGGTAACTTTATGTACACAAATATGTTGCTTATAATTATTGGAAGATGATTACTTACTGGATAGTCCTTCATTGTATAGAGATGTTGGTGGCGAAGTTTTAATTTTTGATGGGGAACTAACAAATTTGTCTCTTCATGACTTGATCATAGAGGTGGTGAAATTCGATTCCATAAACTAGGACTAGGAACTTAGGTTAAGTCTTTTGTCATGTTATTGTTCGATGCTCTGGCCTATGGGTGTTTTTTTGTGTACATACTGATTTGAACTTCCTTAAGCAATATACTGTGAAGCATTTGGTTTCCTTGGTTAAGATATGTTTAACCATTTATTAGAAAGTGTAGTGCCATATGGATAGAATTCTCTTTGTTCACACACATTGGGCGCCAGGCGCTTCGGGCGAGTGCTCAGTTTAAACCAGGTGACTGGCTGCGGCAACGACAACGGAGAGGGGCAGCGAGCGCCCGATTAGTTGGTTCGATTGAACCAACTAACGCATGCATATCAACCTCCCCCTCGCGACTTCCCCTAACCCTACGCCTGATTCCGCTGTCTCTCTCTACTGTTGCCACTGTTGTTGCCTCTCTCCGCTACCATTGCTTCTCTTCGTTATCGCTGCTTTCCGCTACCGCTGTCGTTGTTTTCCACTGCCATTACTGCTGCTCTCCGTTGCCACTACCATTGCCTCTCTCCGCTGCCACTGCTCTCCGTTGTTGCCCGCTATCGCTGCTCTCCGCTACTGCTTGTTGCTGCTGTCATTGCTCTCAGGCAACAACCTCTTGTCCGCGACTCAGTTCTCACCTCATCTCGGTCTCCTTCTCACACTCTACTCTTCTCTTCTACTATTAACAGTAGAAAGTATTTTAAAATATTAAAATATATTTTTTATGTTTTAATATTTTAGAGTGCCTTGCTTCGCTCGATTGAGCGCCTAGTGCCTCAAGCGTTTTGGGACCTCGGCGCCTAGCACTTTTTAAATAACCGATATATATATATATATATATATATATATATATATATATATATATATATATATATATATATATATATATATAGCCCCATAACTTGGGGAGAAGGGGTGTCTCCTCACAAAGGTGGTTGAGTGACCAGGCTCGGGTGATTATTTACCAAAGACACAAGTCTTTGCAAAGTCGTAAGGCCATGCATGGGGGCTGACACCTGCCTAGTGCTAGAAGGTCAAGGAAGTTGGTGACCTAATGATAGGGGAGCCAGCGATTGAAGCCTCCGTGAGCGGCGGCCGTAACTATAGTGGTCCTTAGGTAGTGATACTCTTTTTCGGGTAAGGTCCGACCCGCACAAAAGGCATAACGATCTGGGAACTATCTAAGATAGAGGCTCGGTGTAATAGACATGTTTGTGAAGATGAGGACTATCCACACCTAGACAAAAAGGCCCTATGAAGCTTTACTGTTCCTTAGGATTGGCCTTTGGGCCTTTCTTGTGCAGCTTAGGTGAAAAGCAAAGTATATATGTTTACACTTGTTTATGTTTTGTTACTTTTTGGCTGTGACCTTATAGGAATGTTCTTTAATGTTTCCATACTGCTAATGTCCTGCATCTAAAAGTGAAATCACATGCTTGGGAGATTTTAATTGATTGTTTTTGTTGTGAGGGTTTTGGAGTGTTGGTCTCACAATAAGGCTGTCGTTTTGTGACTTGGATGACCAGTGAGTCCTGGAAGCTACCTCTCTGCTGGCAGATAAAGACACATGTATTGACCCTCCCCATTTTGTTGTACACTAGGCCACCTTTTTTATTTTGTGGGTTTTCAGTTAGTATCTTGATCTGCTTGCATTAGCTAGGAAACCTCTTCTCCATTTATATCAATAGATCCCCCTTTTCGTTTCACATAATTTATATATGTAGGATGAGATGTTAGTTTAACTTTTAACATAAAAACGTTGATATTTAGATTTTGTTTATATATTTGTTGTTCTGGACCATGAATTAAGTTATAATGTCACCTATGGGATCTTAATGACTTAATCAATTGTCTTTGTTGAATATGGTTGATTCATTTGTCACTTTCCTAGGAAGATTCACATTCTCGTGACACTCCTGTTATGCTTATGGATTTTGTTTTTACGGAGCTCTCAGTGTTTGATTTTGAGTATACCAATTTAAGAAAAATTAACAATTATGAGAACAGGGTCTTCAACTATCAGCTGCGAGGGCTTCGGTAAAGTCTGTGAATGGTGGGGTGATGACAAGGGAAATTACTCTTCAACGTACGATTTCCACTAAATTATTTTGTGAAAGTATTTTCTTTTGCAATGGTATTAGATCATATCTTAAAGAGTTTTTTTAGCTGGAATACTATTCTTTTTTAACCTTTGTATTATCTTGTGCATTATAGTATGTGATCACAACATCTTTTGCTAGCTTTTTATTCAAGCAAAAACTTAAAAGAAATATGAATTGTTTGAAGAAATTGTTGCCATTGCATGCAAGCTGATCAAAAGATATGGATGCCTGGTTAAGAAAGTGGCATACATCATTAGTGATCAACAAATTAAACTTTTGATAAACATTGACTCATTGTTGAGATGAATTAGTTCTAAAAGTACACTTACTCATCTCCATAGAGTTTTTGAAAATGATGTTTTGACAATTTTTAGCTTAAAGAAATGTGTACTTTGTGAATGTCTTTGATTCATATCTAGTCAAATCCAAGGCCATCGATGGAGGCAATACATTTTCAATTCCTTCTACTCCATATATGTTTATAAGTAGATGAATTCTGTGAAGATTATCCAATCAACACTCAATACATTTTATCCTGTACTGGAGCTACACCTAATTGTTCGTGGATGAAAATATTTCTTATTCTTTTTTTTTTCTTGGTACACTGCATATTCACATCTCAGCTGCACTAACCTATTCTACTTGTTATTCCTTAAATTCTCAACTTCCAATCCATAATGCATTAGTTTTCTTTACAATTTTCTTAATTCTAAAGAGCAATGTGATTGGTTGCTTTTTTGATTAATTTGAAAAATTACTTGTATGAAGTAAAATAGTATATCTCTATTCTAGTCCTTGTGTAGTTTGTTATGAATGGTTTAAGTGTACCTAGGGAAAAGAGAGCTCTAATGGCTTAGTTCTTGAATTTACTCCTAAAATTTGAGAGGTTATTCAAGCATTTTAGTTGGTTATATCTATTCAACTTCCATAGTAGAAAAGCAAGTTTAGTGGCTTGGAACGCTAGCTCTTTACCAAAAGTGAAATTGGATATAAAACTTTATGGTCACACTTTACTTTTAGGGGTTTCTGTCATACAGTCAGAGCTCTGCGACCTTACTATATCCACTTGGTTGTTTAGATCAACATCAGCTTGTTTTTTAGAATTAAAATATCCATACTTGATTTTCATTCGCATCTTTGGTTTATGGTTAGTCCTATGTGGATGCATGATGAATTAAATTCTACCAGTACTTTAATGAAGACAATTTCTAACAATTTAGTGTTTATAACCTTTTCACAAGTTGGACTTAGTGACAGCTGAATTATGATGCCTTTATGTAAATCTAATTATGGCAGAATTGACTAATTTCCAGTATCTAGTTCTGCCAAATGTCTTCTAGAACAGTAATATTGTTGGTTTTAGTATCCCATCCGCAACCACTTCATGGTGCTTGTCAGACTATTTTGAAAGATCCCATATCCCATATTTTGGGATATGAGATCTTTAAAAATAGTCCTCCAAGTTCTACCGGGAAACATTCTGATCAAATTATTCTTCCTTTGGTAACCTCCTTGACCATGATATCAAAAAAAGCTTTTTACATCACTGCCGAAATTGCAGGATCCTGCATCTCGGTTATCAAATTGCATCTACAAGCATCAATTTAGAAAAAAAACAAGTGGCTAGTATAATCACTTCATTATTATATAATTAAGTAAAATTTGTCTTTTAGGAACACCTCCATCTCAGCATTGCAGGATCCATTAAGATCGCTTACAAACAGATTGTTAAAGTAAAAAAAAATGATCTTGACAATTAACTAATTGAAAAAAAGAACACACTTCTCAATAATGCAAAATAAAACAGCTGAGTTGAATATATGGAAAAAAGACAACAGGGTTTATTATAATTTCCCTGCAACTGTAATTATTTTTGACTGGGTTTGTGAATGTTTAGCTAGTTTTCTCATGATACATTGTGTTACTTTTCTCTTTATTGTTTTCTGTTTGGTGGTTGGAAGAATACACACATCTTTCTTTGCTTTTGCATGATTGTCCCACTGTGGTAATGCTATCTGCCTGGGGAAGGAACACCTACAGAAAAATGTACATGTAGTACAGTGCTCATTTGCTATCTCTTATGTTCTTTTCAGGCAAACTTCCAAACAGTACAAGGGAGAATGGAACAGTATTGCACAAAAACAAAGAAGCTTTTCTTCGATATGAACTGTAAGTGGCAAAATTGTATCTTTTCATATTACTGATTTTAGTATGACACTTGCATTCAGTAATATTTTGATATTTCCAGTTTAACGGATTTGCAGAACCAGCTAACAAGTGTCCTCTTAAAGCAAAAGCATGCAATGAATTCTAAAAATTCCTACCCATCCTGTTTGGTAGAACAAATGCCTGGAAATGCTACCACTTCTCAATCATCCGATAAAGGTAGCAAAGATGCTTGTTGCCAGATTGCTCCTGGGGATGCATCTCTCAATCAAGGTGTGGTGAATATTCATGTCACTGAACTGTCAAAAACTACAATACTATCAGAGATCAAGAGTGGGCAAAAAAGAAAGCAAAGTCCTATCATTGTGACTCCTGCATGGTCTTATAGTGAAGCATCATCTGGTATGTTCCTCTAATTCTGAGGTTGTATAGGCTAGACCTTGTCATTTGCAGTTTCAGTGTTCGGCATGTTGATATTTTACACCTTTTAGAAATTATTTCTTAGAAGTATAAGTTGTAAATTGTATATCAATTGATCACAATTATACATTTCTCTGGTTGCTACTTATTTTTTTATTCAGGATATAACATCACCAACTGCATGCAGAATCTTTTACCTTGCCTTTTCTAATATACTCTTTTCAGAAGATTCTGAATTGATAGTATGATAAAAAATTCATTTTTGCGGCTTGTCAACATAGCACTGTAGTGAGTGCTACAACCTTAAAACTTCATTTGTTGTTTTGAACTTTTGATAACTAGACCGATCAACTGTCTTTGGTTGTTATCAGCTTGTTCTTGCTGTGAGTAACAACTCCTACCAATATTTTATCAATGAGTGTTGATGATGGAATTTCTCTTTTCCATTGCTAATTTGCTAGATATTTGTCTTTTACCGATTTAAGCATGCTTGATGTAGAATTTTATTATGTATGATAGGAAGCATGTATCATTTATATTAAAATGAAAACTATACAACGATAATAACAAGAACAACAACAACGATAAAATCGTAAGTTGCAACTATTTGGGGTCGGTTACATGAATCTTTTGTTATCGTTGAGATCTATATAAAGTCATATATTAAGTTAAGATTATTTAAATCTTTATTTATAGTTTTTATTAAAATCTTTTTAGATCCCCTCTATCTCTCCTCATTCTAGGGTTTATCGTACCATAGAATATCATGTGGTACAACAAGTGACTGATATGCAGACCACCTTGTACCGGATGGTATATACTAAATGGCTCTGTATCGTTCGATATGGTTTTGTACCACTCGGTAACGGTCGGAATTTGACTGTTATCGACTTGTGCCAATCGGTAATGATCGAATTTCGACTACTACTGACGAATTACTCAGATATGACCCTTTTTAATAGTTAGATCCATTTAAAAGGATTTTTAAACCCTTTCCTCCTCCTCTTTCACCGCTTTTCACTCTCTCAAACTACTATACTCTCTCAATCTCTTTCTCACTCTTTTATCTAATTCTCACATTTGCACTCTCTAAAACTTCATAAAGTTGCGATTTGTGGATTAGATCAAGCTTGGAAGGTTAATTAGGGTGGATTAACACCTAAGTTAAGGAATAACTTTTTAATCAAAGGTATGTAGATAATTTCTCAATCACATCCAGCAACCTGCTCGATCTTGAGACATGATAGTGACTTGTACAATAGTGCCTTGATCGATGATGGTTGCGTTATTGGGGAGTCGATGATTCTGTCTATACAGTTTGAGGGTGGTACATGGATCAAGGAGCAGTATTTTCTATATGCCACCCAAGATTTAGATCATGGAGCTTGACATGATAGCTGGTCATTCATTTACGAGTAGCAGTACGGTGATAGTTGGTCATTCTTCTTCGAGCAGCAATACGGTGATAAATATGATGATACAGAGTAGTAAATTAGTGACATAAGTAAAGTTTCGACATTCTTCATGCTTCGCACCAATACATGCCACAATCATACTTGCCTTAAGAGTTGTTTTGAACATGTGTGGTTTACGACAATCCAGTGATTTCAATAGGCGCTCGGGCGAGGCGAGGCGAGGCTCGAGCGCCTTGCTTCATTTCCATGCGACACGCTTCAAAGAGGCGCCCGCCTGGGCGCTTGCCCGAGCCTAGGCGCCGGGCGCTTCGGGTGAGCTCTTGGGTTAAACCAGGCGATCGAACCAGTGCTTTAGGTCTGGTTCGGTCTCCGGTGCTTTAGTTGGTTCAATCGATATTAGCGTGACTTCCCCAACCCTAACCTTGCTCGTCGTTCACGCTACTACCGTCGCTGCTGCTGCTGTCGCCACTCTCGCTGCTGTTGTCGCTCTCGCTGCCGTTGCCGCTACTGCTGTCGTCACTCGTCGCTCGTCGCTCTCGCTGCCACCGCTATCGCTCCCACTGTCGTCGCTCGCCGCTCCTGCTCCCGTTGCCATTGCTACCATTGCCACTGTCTTCGCTCGCCGCTTCCGCTCTCGCTTCCGCTCTCGCTCCCGTTACTGCTGCCGCTGCTCGCTGCTACTGTTGCCACTGTCTCCGCCCCCGCTCCCGCTGCCGGTGCCACTGTCGCCTCTTGCCGCTCCCGTTGTCGTTGCTGCCGCTATCATCACTCGCAGCTGTTGCTCCCGATCTTCTCAGTCAACACCCTCAGTCTTTCGACTCTTCCCTTACACTCTTCTCCTCTTTCGATAGTATATTGTTAACAATATACTGTTAACTGTATTCTAGTAATAGTATTTGTATTTATTAGATTAATTTAATAGCATATTTTTATTTAAAAATTTAAATAATTATATTTATTAATTATATTGTATATTTTTACATTTTAGCACCTCACTTCGCTCGGGCGAGCGCCTAGCGCCTCGGGCGTTTTTGGACCTTGGCGCCTAGCGCTTTTTAAATCACTACGACAATCATGCTATTATCATCACTATATTGATGCACCAATGACATATAGTGTATCGGTATATTATGTTGTGGGATTAATTTCATGATTGGGTATGACAAACATATATATACATATATATATATATATATATATATATATATATATATACTATATATATATATATATATATATATACTATATATATATATATATATATATATATATATATATATAT